GTGGTTTAACAAAATTATCTGAAATGAATCTAAAAGCTGCTCAAGGAGACCAAAAGTAGCTGCTGAGAATTGTTGACATTTTGTTTCCAATTATTGTAGAAATGAACACYGTATGAAATTTACTTGCACCACTAAAAGTGAAACTTGGTATTACTCCAACACTTTTGCTTTTGAAAATAGTTATTTTTTAGTTTCAGAAAAAAAGATGTAGTTTCTTTGATTGTAGTTCAAATGCCATATATGTTCTCTGTCCTTTCGTCCCATCAGATGGTTGTATTTACCTGCATCTTGTCACCAGGAGTATTTTATTGCCACAAACCACAGTGTCTGTTCATTTCAAAGAAAAACAAAAACTACTTAGATTGATAGCCACCAACTCTTACAGATAGTGATTTTTTTAAACCAGAATATGCTCATTTGGATTGCATTAATCTTGTCATTGCCTTAGTTACACAGAATTAATTATGGTAATTTGTTCTTCCTTAGTTAAAATAGGCTTTGGTAATGTTAGATGTAGGAGGAGGTGGTGTGATGGGCAGTTTTTAAGTAATTCTTTAGCATCACATAACTGTTTAGCATGACTTGCCAAATGCAAATTTTCTTGATTATTTTTCTGTGTTTTTGGAAAAGCATTTGCTAGACTTGATAGAGTTGATAAATAACATTTTTGAGTTACTTGCTGTAATCCTAGATTACATTTCTTTGGATTAGTTTGTATTCAAATATATATAAATTAAAAAGATATTTCAGCTTGAATTTAGGTGATTCAGATGTTTAAACAATACTAGAAAGTTGCAGTGATTCTTTTACTTGCTAAGGGTATTATTACAAGGCTGCTTTGTATCTAAAACAGTTATTACTCCCTGTTAAAATACAGTGTATAAAACTGTGTCTACTTCAACACTAAATGTATTTGTATGTGTTTCAGTGCAAAATGGTTCACTGCATCAGAAGGAGACTGTCCATGACAATGACTTTGAGCCATACCTCACTGGCCAATCAACTCAGGTAAATTGTCCTCGTGTTATTTTCATTTTTATAATCAAATTATTTTTATCAAATGTCGCAGTGTAACAAATGTGTCCACACTCACCTTCTAATTCACTGTGTTCTACTTTGTACTTTATCTTAAAATTTCTTGCTCTATAAATGGCAAATAAGAAGAGTCAAATGTATTTTTCTAAATTATTTTTAAATCAAATATTTGAGACACTTCCTGTTGTTTCTACATGATTTCAGAACAACAGCTACCAGTCCATCACCGATCCCTACCTGTCAAGCTACTATGCTCCCTCCATTGGATTTCCATACCCTCTAAGTGAGGCTCCTTGGTCCACTGGTGGAGACCCCCCTATTCCATACCTCACGCCCTATGGACCTTTGAGTAATGGAGATCATCATTTCATGCCGGACACCGTGTTTGGCCAGCCAGGAGGACTGGGAAGCAGTATCTACCCCCACAGGTTCAATTTTTTTCCTGAAAACCCTGCCTTCTCTGCTTGGGGGACAAGTGGCTCCCAGGGCCAGCAGACTCAAAGTTCAGCATATGGCGGCAGCTATAGTTATCCTCCCAGCTCCTTGGGGGGCACTCTGGTGCCTGATGGTCAGACGGGCTTTCACAATGACACCCTGAACAAAGCCCCTGGCATGAACAGCCTGGAACAGGGCATGGTTGGGTTAAAAATCGGCGGGGATGTTCCCGGTCAGGGCTCAGGAGTCAAAGCCGTGGGGTCTGTGATTGGCGGACCTGCGGTGGCGGCCACGGGAAATGGCACCACGCCTATTGGGATGCCTCCACCTAAACTCACCTCTTGGGCAGCAATCGCTAGCAAACCTGCCAAACCCCAGCTGCTGAAGGCTAAGGTGAAGCCAGGGATGCCCAATCCGGGGGGAGCTCTTCCCCCACCACCCATCAAACACAACATGAACATTGGGACCTGGGACAAGGGCCCAGTGACTAAGGTAGCCCCAGCTCCACTGCAGCAACAGCAGCCTCTCGGCCTGCCTCATGCCATGCCACCTCAAGGACCCATGCAGCCTCCTCCCCAGTCCTTAGTGCAACCCCAGATGCAGCCGATGGCCTTACAGCCCCCCCACCACCAGCACCATCAGCCACCGCCTCAACCCTACCAAAATCACACCCAGCCACCTCAGCCCCAGACCCGCTGGGTCGCTCCACGCAACCGGAACCAGGGTTATGGGCAGGGTGGCCCTGGCCAAGATGGAAGTGGTATGATGGGAGTGGTTGGTGTCGGGCACAACGGTCCTCAAACCTCTGCTTGTCCGGGGTCTAGCATTGAGTCCCACCCGGTGCTGGAAAAGCTGCGTGCCTCCCATAGTTACAACCCCAAGGACTTTGACTGGAACCTGAAGACTGGTCGTGTTTTCATCATTAAGAGCTACTCTGAGGACGACATTCACCGTTCCATCAAGTATTCCATCTGGTGCAGCACGGAGCACGGCAACAAGCGCCTGGACTCGGCCTTCCGGGCCATGAACGGCAAAGGCCCAGTGTACCTTCTCTTCAGTGTCAACGGCAGCGGTCATTTCTGYGGCGTGGCAGAAATGCGCTCGCCGGTGGACTATGGGACCAGCGCTGGYGTTTGGGCACAGGACAAGTGGAAGGGCAAGTTCGACGTGGACTGGTTGTTTGTTAAGGACGTGCCTAACAGCCAGCTGCGCCACATCCGCCTGGAAAACAACGACAACAAGCCGGTGACCAACTCCCGCGATACACAGGAAGTCCCTCTGGAGAAGGCCAAGCAGGTGCTCAAGATCATTGCCACCTACAAACATACCACCTCCATCTTTGATGACTTCTCCCATTATGAGAAGAGGCAGGAGGAAGAGGAGGAGGTGCGCAAGGTGGGTTTGGTAATCCAGCCCTGTGGCTTTAAAAATAATTAAATTAGGATTTTAATGCTGCCATTTGAGTGGAGTTTGGAGAGACTAATGTGTTTTTTGGTTTGTTTTGCCTTATTTTTCTCTTCTGGCAGACTTTTGAACCTCCTCAGATACAGAACCGCTCTCGGTTGGATCAGGTAAAGAAAGAATCTTCATGTTTTCTTAATAGTTGTTGAAATAATGTTTTGAATTTTTGGTAATAATTCTGTTTAATTGTGTTGTTTAAATGATGAAAAACAAATAATCTCATTTACTGTTTTATCACTTTTGTTAATGCGTTGACCCAAAATACATGCAGAAATAAGAATCCTGCACTCCAATGTGGTGACAATTACATGTTTACAAGAATCATTTTGTTTCTTGTTTTTCCAAACAGGAGCGCCAAAACAGGAATAAACAATAGAAGACTTTTACTCTTGGCTTGATGATTTACACTAGGACTCAATTTAAAGACAGAAGAATACGATAAAGCAACCAAGCCCTTTTTTTTCTCCCCTTTTTATTTAATCCTGGTAATTTTCTACCATAGTCGAGACTTCTATTTTTTTGTTTGTTTTTTTTCCATCTGCCACTGATTTTTGTGCAGCGATAACAAGTTGATTAAATGTATTACCTAGCAGCCACCACTCTATTTAGTTTTTTTTAAACATATTTTTCTTCCTGTTCCATCATGTACTCCTCTCTCACCTGACGGGTTTTCTCTCCCTTGCCCCAACACCCCTTCCTCTGTGAATTGAATCAGGGTTTGACTGCACCGTGAAGAAGAAGAAAAACCTGCCACTTTATATTTCAGTACAATCAGGAACAGATGTGTCATGCACCTATTTGCCATTTGGGGGCAACATTGCCATGTTTTTATCTGTTAACTGTGCCAACAGGGTTGGAGGATCCTAAAGGCAACGTCAGACTTGGAACTGGGATAGTAAAACTTCAACGGTTTCTCTATTTTTCATTCAAATCGACAAAATCTCTATTTTTTGGCTTACTACTGACAATTTTCATTTCCAAAACCTTTTCTTCTCAAGCCTTATTCTTTTTTTTAATTATTATTATTATCAGTGACTTTTCAAAAGAACTGCTCAAACAGTGACACTGCTGGCGAAATCAGGGATAGTGTGAAGTCACACGGGACTTGAAACATTTCAAAGGAGGAAGTGCTGAAGCTTCTTGGAAAGACATAACGGATACGTCCTCCACAACCAGAACTCTGGCCATTTAAATTCAAAACAAGTTGTAGTAAATCACACCTTTCAACCCCCAACATTTGCTTTGTTTTGGTGTTTGTCTTCAGGAGATGATTCTTTTGTACACGACCCAGTCTGAGAGAACTGTCATGTCCACCATCTTAAACATCTTTGTTAGAATTATGTAATGATGTAACAACTAAGTTGATTGAATTATTTTTTCCCTCAAAAAAAGGGTAAGGGTTCACGTGTTTGTCCATTCACCGTCATTCTGTCTTAATCCTTTCTTTGTTTTGTTTTTTTTCCTCCTCAGATTTGTAATGCTAAGCTTTAACGTAGGAGTCTATATATTCATGGAGAAGGCCTAAAAATGTATAATCTAAAAAAAAATTAATGTAACTGATTTACTATCGAGTAAGAAAAAAAAAACGAGAATGAACTACGGTTTCTGTGTGTTTTTCTTTGGTTTTAATTATAGTTTGCTTTAGCTTTGAACTGTTAATTATGATACCGCAAATCCTGAAAAATAAATAAATTGGAAACATTAAAAGATAAAAAATTAAAAAGAAATGTATACGTGCCCATGCATGGCAATCGAATGCAGTATGTCAGCTGGAGATGTTGAAGCCGGTGTCCTCCAGTTCTTGCCTTTAAGGTCACAGTGCTGTTTACCAGATTAAAAAGGAAAGAAAAAAAATTGAGCAGGGGGCGTCCCTGTGTTTGTGTTGCTCATTTAGCAACTTCAAAGTCCCCAAACGCAGCATTTAATAAGTGGGTTCTCTTCCCCTTAATTAGTTTGATTGTTACCTCGATATTTTGTGGCTTGCAGGGTTACTCTTGACACAGAAAGACATTGCTCACTATCATGCTTGCCTCCCCCCCTCTTTTGAAGAGATCTTATTTGTGTAATGGTGTAAACATTTAATCTGATGTAGCCTCATATAAGCTAGATTCATATTTTTCAGATTTCCAGTTTGAACGGTTTTGTGAGGAACTGACTGAACTGAAGCAAATTGTCACCCCAGTTTAACTACTTGTGACCAGGATATGTTTTGTGTTTTCCAGATTAGAGGATGTAAAATCTATGAACTGCTTTTTTGATTTTATCTTTACCCCCCGGTTTAAACTTTGCTCTCATACCAGTGAAATGGCAATGCACTTTGCTCAAATTGCTCAAGTATGAACTCRCAGAGAAGGTAAATTTGTGTCCTTGGCCAGTGTCTGCCCTGTAATGATTAGCTTCTGTTTATCATTTTTGAATCTGCACTAACTCATAGTTTGATCCAAGCAATACGGGGGACATGTCCATATGGAGATGTTCATCTTCACCAACCGCGTGAAGGCGAGAAGCTAAAGGATGTCAGTGAGGACTGTATAGCAACCACAGCCTTTTTATTTCTTTTTATTATTATTTTTCCCCTCAGGAAGTGTGAACTGGTTGTGATTCTGGTGTAAGGCTTATGTGCACGTTGGGTAATAATTGTAAGATGTTTAATTCARGGTTTGATGTCAGGTCGGCCTTGAAAGTCACCACTGCTAAAGGATCCAATTACACAAAATACTAAACKGATTATCTCTTAAAAAATGACCACAACTGTAGTGGACACACCTTGTTCAAAGGATTTATCTTGGTTTTTCTTTATAGAAGAAATCAAGCCTTAATAAACTGTCAGTTCAGAAATGACCATGTCTTCATCTCGTTAATTTTATATAAGTTCTTAAACCTTTTTTTTATTCCTAAAAACTCTAAACTTCATCATTCATTAGGCTTGGATGGAGTTTTTATAATTGTCAGGCTGTAAGGATCYACATTTGCACCAATCAGGAGGAGAGTTTATTTATTTATTTATTTTTGGTTATTAGCTTGAAACTGCTGAAAATATCTGAAAATGTAAAATACTGTTGCTGTTCAAAACTGGTCATCATGACCTCACTGTCTGGTTTCCAGTGGGAGCTCTCCATGGTGCTGACATTTTCTGTTGGACCAGTTTATGTTAGGACTCTGCTGCCACAAAAACTGAGTAAATATCACACCAAGAACAAAAAACTCATTTCAAAAAGGGAGTTAAAATTTTCTTGGATTCTAAGACAAACATCGTTAACATATCTCATGATTTTTGATATCACTTTTAGGTCAGCGATGCTGTTCCCTGCTGCGATGACTTTTAGGTTACCACGTACAAAAATGGATTCAATCAAACTAGAATGCAAGAACAATCATGCAAACAATAATGACAGGTCAAAACTGATTGTAGCTCAGACTTTATTTTGTCAGTATAAATTACAGAACAAGCAAAAAAATAATTAAAAGGACACGTTAAAGACGATATTCACGTCTTTAAAATTCAACATTCCTATCCGGAGCTCACTGCATTATGTAACTTCAAATACATATAAGTCTCTGAGAGAAAGAGAGAGAGATGTTTTTTCTTCATTTTATGTCTTTTTGTCCTTTAAAAGATTGTCACAGGCTAATATAATATACATAAACTATCCATGTCCAAGACAAGTCCCCAATATTGTTAATCCCTTCTTAACCACCTAGACTAACCTGACAAATTAACAATAAAATACTGTGGTATTCAGATATAAAAACTTTATTTACACATCAATGTTAAGATACATGAAAAATGACATCTGAACTGATGCGTTGTGAAAAACAATAAAAAAGCCCCCCCACTTAGATTTTCAAAGACTTGTTCAGGAAACACGGGACATTATTTTTATAAACTGACCTCAACAGATCCACATAACRTTGCTGTGAATCTTTGGAAATTACTGGAAGAGGTTTCAGTGTAAATTAAAAGGTCTGACAAGGACCTATATAAACAATAAATATAATGTCAATACAGTTAAAGTCACAAATACTTTTAGAAACAGTAGTT